AAGCAGAGTTACCTGTACTAGTACTCCCTCCATACTCGTAAAGCAAGTCGTTTAGGACAATGTTTAAGTCAAATCTTAAAAATATAAATCATGAATAACTCTCAAGTTGTTGAGTTTGAAAATGTAAAAATTATATGAATATATTTGTCTTAAAAAATACTTTCATAAAAGTATACATGTATCACTTTTTAATAAATATTTTTTTATAGAAATAAGAGATCAAAATTGTGTTTTGGAGACCGTGTCGCTATCCAAAACGACTTCTTTACGAGTACAGAGGGAGTATGTAGCACCATTACACACGTTATGAACGGGTTCCTATAATATGTTACGTGAGGGTCTATTAGATCGAAGAGGTCCTCAAGTAATAATTACGTCTGTTCCACTGAAGATCTCCAATCAATCGTGTGTATATATAGTTGTTTGCCCACTGTGTTGGTCTGTCAATTGGAGAATGATCTCCTATGCATCAAACGCTTCTCTAGTCATGCGGAAAAGGAAGAAAGGAGACAAAATTTACGCTACATGCGAAACTTTCCCAGTCACTTTGCGAATAGCTGATTTGCCAAGATCTAGTGACCAATAATACATCAATATTATATGGGTTCTCAACATTGGATTCCAATGTGTGTAGAACAAAAACTAAAAATTAATGATATATACTTCGCGTCACGGCAAATCTGTGGTCGGAGTCCAGAGAAAGTGATGAGAAAAGGTCGATCTGACGATCCGACGGGCGGGCAGAGTTAAACAGCATGATTGCCGTAGTCGACGAAACCATGCATAAGTGGCATCTCTTTTCCCCACCTATCTGGGGGCTTATTAGCTTAGCTCCTCCCACTTTGGGCGGTAAGGGATCCATATGCATTGGAAGATTCTTTCCCAACCAAAATTCTATTAGCTACCAAGCCGTCACTTGTGTTGTTTGTGCAGTATTAATGTTCTATGTATCGATGTATGCATGCATTGCAGACTCCACCGGTCAATTTGTTGAGTAATTGCCGGCTACTGGTTAGTGTTAGTGCATGATAACCTCATTTTCCTTATTCTCTTCTCTTTTCAAAACTTCCATTTGTGATGGAAGCGATACCCTTCCTCCAGGTATGCCTGCGTGTTATATAGGCTAGGAATAACCCCTAGCGTGGTACATACAAAGGATGAGAGATCTTATCCTATCTCTCTGTTAGTTACAACAAACTGAAGATAAGAACCAATCTATCTAGCTAACTATTCTTATCATCTAACACTCCCCCTCAATCTCAATTCTCCAAGATTGAGATTGTTACAGAACAATTGTAATTGTCTCACAGGAAGAGGCTTTGTAAATCCATCAGCAATTTGATCTTGTGACGGAACAAACCGAATTTCCAACATTTTCTGCGCCACCTGTTCTCTGACAAAATGGTAATCCACTTCTATGTGTTTTGTTCTAGCATGAAACATAGGATTTGCTGACAAATAGGTAGCTCCAATATTATCACACCATAATTGAGAAGGTCCTGGATGCAACAAACCAATCTCTTCTAGCAATTTACGAACCCACATTACTTCAGCAGTTGCATTAGCCAAGGCTTTATATTCGGCTTCAGTACTAGAGCGTGATACAGTAGCTTGCTTCCTGGCACTCCAGGATATCAAATTTGATCCCAGAAATACTGCAAAACCTCCAGTAGATCTCCTGTCATCTAGACATCCTGCCCAGTCTGCATCAGAGAAAGCACTAACAATATAAGAAAGGGATTTGTCAATCTTTAATCCTAGACCAAGAGTACCTTGCAGATATCTAAGTATTCTCTTTACTGCTGCCCAATGTACAATAGTAGGATTCTGTAAGAACTGACACACTTTATTAACTGAGAAAGATATGTCTGGTCTTGTAAGAGTTAAGTACTGTAGAGCCCCAACGATACTCCTGTACTGACTGGCATCATTTGCACCCAAAAATTCACCATCATTTGACCACAGTTTTTCAGACACACAGAGAGGAGTACTCACAGGCTTACAATTACTCATTCCAGTTCTCTTAATAATATCACCTGCATACCTTTCCTGTGTCAACAGCAGACCTTTCTCAGTTTTCTTTACTTCAATTCCCAGAAAGTAGTGCAGATCCCCAAGATCTTTCAGAGCAAAATCTTTCTCAAGTTCCTTGAGTAAAACTGTAACTGCTTGACCAGAAGAGCTAGCAACTATAATATCATCAACATATACAAGCAGAAACATAACAAGTCCCTTCTTATTATAGAAGAACAAAGATGTATCAGCCTTAGATGAAACAAAACCAAGTTCTTGTAGCCTTTTACTCAACCTGGAGTACCAAGCTCTAGGTGCCTATTTTAAGCCATACAGAGCCTTATCCAACTTACAGAGATAGTATGGCATCTTTTTCTCCTCGTATCCTGGTGGCTGCCTCATGTACACATCTTCTTCAAGATAGCCATGCAAGAAGGCATTCTGTACATCAAGCTGTCGAAGACTCCATCCCTGTGACACAGCCAGTGACAGAACAAGTCTAATAGTAGCAGCCTTAACTACAGGACTGAAGGTATCCTCATAATCAATACCATAACGTTGTTTAAAGCCCTTTGCTACTAACCTAGCTTTATATCTATCTATAGTTCCATCTGCCTTTCTTTTAATCTTATAGACCCACTTACAATCTATTACATTCACCCCCTGCTTTGGTGGAACTAGGTGCCATGTTTTATTTCTCACTAAAGCAGCAAACTCGCTATCCATAGCTGACTTCCAATTAGTATTACTTAAAGCCTCTTGGAGATTACCTAGTTCTCCTGTATGTGTGAGTCCTGCATACCTTACTGTGCCATCTGTGTACTTCTTTGGTTTGTGGATACCACGCTGTGCTCTGGTCACTGGTCGAGTCGGCTGAGCGGCAAACTGAGCACTATCATCATCATTAGATGTGGAAGAAGCAGGAGCTGATGCAGACGTGTCTTGATCCTCCTGCGATGGCCCATGTGAACCCGGTCCCACAATGTCTCCCGACGGAGACGAGGCTGCCGCGTGTGACGACGCGATTGGCGCGGCTGCCGCGTGTGGCGACGCGGTTGGCGCGGCCGAGGGACTCGCTGCGTGTCGCGGCGTGACCGGTTCTGCAGATCGAGATGACGCCGAGTTCTCCTGGTCCGCCTGGTTATCCGTGCCATGGATGGTACTGTGCGTCAGAGAGTCATGATGGCCGCCGGTAGGTTGCCCGCCGGAACTCTGCATGAAATCATGCCCGTGCTGCGCCCCTGATTTTGCTCCATTGCCTGCACTGCTGCCTGCACTATTCTCAATAATTGGATTAGCAGGATTAGAATCATCAATCAGCGGTTGATCATGCATCTGTACACCCCCGTGATCAAGCAGCGGAAGAAGATGCACCGGGAGGAGATTGATCTCAGCCCGGAGGCGAGCACCGGCGTTGGGATGAAGTTTTTCAAAGGGATAGATTTGCTCGTCAAAGACAACATCACGGGAAATATACACACGCCCTGTAGAGATGTCTAGGCACTTAAAACCTTTGTGAAGCGTGCTATAACCCAGAAAAGCACACTGTTTAGAACGGAAAGCTAATTTGCGGGCGTTGTAGGGACGCAGATTCGGCCAGCAGGCACAGCCGAAGGTGCGAAGCAGAGAATAATCTGGGGGCAGGTTAAACAGACGTTGTAGAGGGGTCTCAAAGTTTATCACTTTGGTTGGGGTCCTGTTTATGAGGTAAGCAGCGGTGGTGAAGGCCTCATCCCAGAATTTGAGAGGCATGGAGGCATGAGCTAACAACGAGAGCCCGACCTCAACGATGTGACGGTGTTTGCGCTCGGCAGAACCGTTCTGCTGATGCGCATAGGGACAGGCAACGTAGTGTTCAATCCCAATGCGCTGAAAGAAGGAATTAAGACGTTGGTATTCCCCGCCCCAATCTGTCTGCACAGCTTTGATTTTTCTATTCGTCAAGCGTTCAACAAGGTTTTGGAAATCCTGAAACTTGGCAAAAACCTCAGATTTGTGTTTAAGGAGATAGATCCAAGTGAATTTGCTAAAGTCATCGATGAAACTAACATAATAAACTTTATTGCCAACAGAGTTTATAGCAGGACCCCATACATCAGAAAACACAAGTTGCAAAGGTTCAATAGAAACACTACTGGACTTAGGGTAGGGTAGCTGATGGCTCTTGCCTTTCTGGCAAGCATCACACACAAACTCTTGACTAGAATCCCTAACAACTGGAAGATTATTTTGGCTAATGACGCGATTGACAACAGAAAAAGAAGGGTGCCCTAATCTACTGTGCCACCGGAAAAGAGAGGGCTTGACAACACCAAAAGCCTGCTTGTTGGAGATGGTTTGGAGCTTGTCTGTTGGCAGAGGATAGAGGCCGGATCTACACCTGCCTCGAAGGAGTGGCATCCTCGTTACCTGATCCTTAACCAAAAAGAAGAAAGGATGAAGTTCAACAAATGTTTTATTGTCACGAGTAAAGCGATGGGCAGAAACAAGGCTTTTGCATGCGTCAGGAACATGGAGGACGTTTTTCAACGTTAGATCACGAGTAGGGGTACGAATTGCAGTATGACCAACATGATCGATATTCATACCTGCGCCACTAGCATTGTGGACTTGATCATTGCCGGTGTATTTGTCCTTCACCATGAGCTTCTCCATCTCTCCAGTGATGTGGTCGGTGGCGCCGCTGTCGATGTACCAGTTCGTGTCGATGCCGTAGGAGTTCACTGCAGCAGTGTTGGCGTTCTTCTCTTCACCGGTGAAAGAGGGATCAAACCTCTTCCAGCACTTGGCGACGATGTGGCCGATCTTGTCGCAGAGTTGGCACGTCGGCTTGGGCTTGCCGTCATTACGACCGCGCCCGAAGCCGCCGCCACGTCCAGGGTTGCCGCCGCCGCGCCCTCTGCCATCACGACCGCGTCCGCCTCGCCCTCCTCGCGACGCGGTGTTGGCAGAAGGATTGGCCGCGTTCTGGAGAAGTTCCAGCCGCGACTCAAAGCCAACCAGGAGCGCATAGACATCGCTCACAGAGATTGGACCGGTGCGTCCCGTGACTGACGAGACCACCGAGTTGTAGTCGAAATCCAGCTCGGCAAGAATGTAGGAGATGAGCTCCTCATCATCAACTAGTTTTCCTGCAGAAGCCATGTCATCCGCAAGAGATTTCATCTTACCGACATACTCCGCCATGCTCCGGTTTCCTTTCACGGTGGTGGAGAGCGCCATGCGAGTGTTGAGGATGCGGGCGCGAGATTGAGATGCGAAGAGGCTCTCAATTGCCTCCCAAACATCTGCCGCCGTTGTGAGTGTTGCCACCTGAGTGAGCACCTCACGCGACAGAGACGACAGCAGGTAGCTGAGAACCTGCTGTTCCTGCGCCTTCCATTGCACCAGCGCCGGATTTGCCACCTTCTCGGTGGTCTTGCCATCGTCCTTGGTGACGATGATCGTTGCAGCCGGTGCCTGATTGCTCCCGTCGAGGAAGCCGGCCATCTGTGCGCCGCGCAGCGCGGCAAGAACTTGCGCCTTCCACAGCACGAAGTTGCTCTTGGTGAGCTTCTCAGAAACTGTCTGCCCATTGAGAGCAGATGGGTTGGAGGAAGAAGACGCCATTTGCGTCGGGAGTTGGGAGATTAGATTGAAAGATTGATTGGTGGAGGGTGGAAGGCTCTGATACCATGTGATGGAAGCGATACCCTTCCTACAGGTATGCCTGCGTGTTATATAGGCTAGGAATAACCCCTAGCGTGGTACATACAAAGGATGAGAGATCTTATCCTATCTCTCTGTTAGTTACAACAAACTGAAGATAAGAACCAATCTATCTAGCTAACTATTCTTATCATCTAACACCATTGTTCAAAAATGTGTGCCATACTGCCATTGGCTTATAGGCCATACCTGGTTCAAGTCATAGAATACATTGATTTCATACAAGCACAATAGATGCTCTGGGCAACATTTACAGTCAATGGGCTAGGAAGATACCTTGTTTTTCTAGCGTAATGTATCACTTGACACTAGAAAATAAGATTGTCGGTGACATAAGAACCAGGTCCCCATAGTAAATGTTCCGCCCCGGGCAACCACATGCCCCCTCGCGCAACTTGTCATCTTTGGCTAGAGTCGCTTTGAGCCGTGGCACGTGGATCGCATCGGGTCAAGAAGCATGAAGCTCTTCGGGCATCTCGAGGGTAGTCCCTAGGTGGAAGCATAACACCGCATCCAGATCAATTCTGGAACTAATGTACCTTGTAATACCTTTTTAAGAGCCGTACGTGAAAAAGCTCATGCTCTGATGCTCCATGTCTATATTTCTGCATATCTGCATAATCACCAATTGTACAAATTAGGCATGTACATAATTTTGTGCGAACTAGCCAAGCAAAATTATATTAAAAAAATAGCTGAAACTATTGCCATACATTAATTAGGAGCATGAGCATGTATGATATTTTTTATTTTTAAAGCTTTTCCGATAACTTTAAAAACATACCTTCTCAAAACTTATATTTGACGCTTTTGACCAGTCATGCGCGCGACTCTTCAAAGCGTAATAATTACTTTTTATAAACAAAAATCGATGGGGTTAAAAACTAAAAATGTGTGATCTTTTTTAATAAAAATCCATGTCCGATTGGTGCCAGCATATATATTGAGCATACTCCGTCTTGTGTCACACAGTAACCTAATGTCTAGTTTTCTTCAAGAAAATATGTCCCATACTGTAATGTAATTATTGTCTTCGATAACTTTGGCACTTGATTTGCTACATAAGTCCACAATTGCCACTTTTAATTGATTTTAGACCATTCATTTATTCAACAAAGGTGTTCAATACACTCTAACAAAATTGCATGAACCGTTGGTAATGATGTACGTCGTGTTATTTTGTAAATTAAAGCATGTTGCTTTTATAGGCTCTACCTAGTTTTAAGTATGACCCTACTTATACGTTATACTATCTAGTAGCAGTGGAGGGTCCAACATATTAATAATATTAATAAGTAAATTTAGATTCCTTTCACTGTTTGGTATCACTTTGCGAAATTTCAAAGCAATATCTGCCAATCATATCTGGACAACAACATTCACACTTCATGGAAGAAAAATCTTCTACGTAGTAGTGGGAGTAACCTTGATCTCACACACGAAATGAACTGGCTATAAAGGAATCAATGACGACATGAAAGGTGCATTATGATTAGAACATGCATAACACATAAAAGGGCCAATGTTTTAAATTTTTGTTTGAATCTTGTCCAGAACATTTATGATCGGAGGGAGTATTTGCTTTCGTAGTCTCTCCGAAATTCATTTCAAACGAACTCTAGTGCCTCAGCTAGTGTAATTAGCGAGATGCTAGATAAAGTTGGAGATGTTTTAGTCTCTCGACATTCAGCTCAATTCAGCAACCTAGGTCGCCCGGCGAAGCTGCAGTCCAGCGATTGCTGGAGTATGAAACAAAGCCTTTTGATAGCTTGCTAATTTCTCATATGCATATCCATTAATTCACGTAGAATTCATTCAATGCTCCACCATACAAGGCGCCTACAAAAGTTTTACTAATAAATTATTTTTTATAGTTAATAAGTAATTACGGATTATGTTCAGCGGTAAGCAACCGATGGGTATCAAGGAGACGAGAGGATCACTTTTTTTTCGCAAACGCGTAAAAGAATTGCACGTCAATATATTAAACGAAAAGAGTTTTAGTTACACCACGCAGTTAGCCAGACCAGCTTATACTAGGGGAAGGGAGAAAAAGTAAAATAAAAAAACTGAAGCTAGAGAAACTACGGCGGCTAAAAACAAACTCTAAGCAGCGGGAAGGGGCCTAGCCACGCTACGAGAGGATCACATCTGAATAACTGGAACCAAATTAGCAATCTCTTGGCTGTGATGCAATCAAGGTGTCCAGGTGGTGGCGGACATGTTGGCGCTATATGTTCTGTAAAACAACTCACATATACATGTGGTTAAGTGAATTTCCTCCTTTTCCATCGGCAGTTTTGGAATTTGTATCATCAAATTTTGCTGAGTGAAATACTGATCACGTCTTAGAGACCATAATGTGTAGTCAAACAGCATCAAATAAAAAAAAAGTGTTAGAAAAATGATAGCCACTAGACTGATAATTAGTGTAAGAAAGCTATCATTTTGGTGGGCAACTTGGCACGATGCAATGTGATGTCGATGCCTACACAGGAATCAGGTATATTCCCTGACTAGATCTTTGTCATTATATTTCTGGCATCTTATATGTTATTAGTCAGAAGTTTGGCTTGCTTATTTCGAAGCATCCGGCACCTCTGCAATGCTTCAAAGCAGAGCATGGAATTGTTGGGACACGTCACAGGGTCTCCTTTTTAAACTAGTGGTCTCTTTCAAACAAATAATTGTAGCTGCAAGATAACCTTTGCACCCACACCAATTATATTCTGTACAGATCATATATGTTGTTCCTATATATATTTCTTGTTCACTAAATCTGATTTGTCTATTCACTTATGGTGTACTGTATGACCACCTTTCAGGTGGTTTTATTGCAATCAATTTGTCTCGTGCACCGTCCACCTGTCTCACCAAATTATTCGGCAGCCCAACTTAAACGAGCAGTAGTGAACTACCAAGCACACATGCAAGAACGTCTTTTCAAATATTTTAGTACAAGCTAGCAAAGCAGATTTAAAAGTTGTTACCATACATGCACTTTGTGAATCATGATGAAAGCTCTCTGGCTAAGGACTCCATCCGTCTTAGAAAAAAAAACAATATAGATGGTGTCATCACCTAAGACAACGAATCTGGACACGAGGTTGTCCAAATTCATTGTCTGTTTTTTTTGGATGGAGGGAGTATTACTACCTCAGTTCAAGAATAGCTATTCTTTTAGGATTTAAATATTTCCACGAAATAGTTATTACGGTAGAGTAGAATATGTTCCGTAAATCAAACCACATTTAAATTTCTCCTCATTTACTCTTAATCACCGTCTCAATGCAAACCATATATTATTTAATAAAGGATCCTATAGTTTTTTTTCTCAAATCTTAATCTGCACTAAATAACCATACATCATTTAATAATAAGTACAGTAGCACCTTTTGCCTTTACTACACGCCTGAATACATGTATGTGGGTGATGTTTTCATTTCCATCCTACTATCGTACATTGATCACATCTATGGTTGGTATAGTACCGCGCAGCACCCTCCGCACCCAGTTTTCTCCATATCAAAACTGAGAGAGATCATTTGACCGATTGGCACGATCACAGCAATAGGATTGTCACTCGAGATGTGGCATTATATATTGCTAACAATAGTGGAGTTGTTTAACTAAGTTCTAACTGGTAAGCACGATGTGAACAGCAGAAGTTTCACTGCAGGCTTAGTTTCGACAAAATCAACCCATCCATGATTATACGTAAACGTATCTTTATCTCCTTACCACTTAATAAGCATCTAAAGCTTAACATATAAAAATAGTAGTAATTATTCGTACAACATTATAAAGACTAATATATAAGCATGCCACTTTAACCCACTTTAAAAAGAGAGGATGGATGAAGTTAAATGTTGACGGGTTTTTGATGCAACCTCAGGAACTGGAGGTCTAGGTGCTGTTCTCAGGAATAGTTTAGGCTCTGTCATTTTGTCATTTTTTTCAGCCTGCGGTTCTATGGAGAGATGTAGCAGCCCTCTTGAAGCTGAACTTTTGGCTTGCAAAGAAGGCATCAATCTAGCTCTACAATGGGCTCTGCTGCCGCTCATTATGGAGTCGGATTGTTTGGTCGCTATCAATATGATCCAGTCACCAGGGAGGGAGATGTCCCAGCTTGCTTACCTTGTCAGGGACATAGAAGAGCTGCTGGCAGGCGATAGAGTGGTCAGCATTCAGAAAGTTCAGCGATGCCAGAATAACATAAGCCACTTTTTAGCTAATAGAGGCCGCACTAATTTTCTTTCTGAGTTCTGGCCAGATGGCTCTTGTAATCTCATTTCACAGTTTGTGAATGAGGAAGCTTTAAATGAGTAATATATCTGGTCTTCCTCGCAAAAAAAAACTCACTGAATATCAAAAGCTCATCATATAAACATAGCAACTACATCTATAAGTTATTACAT